TATGTTTTATTAGGTCGTGTTCCTGTATGTTTTAAAGGTTCTCGAGTGACAACCTTGTTGCCACTCGAGAACCTTTCCAGTCGGTTGTCGGTTCTTCGAGCTATATGGCCGGCCTATTGCCACTTCAGCTTATCAATCTGTTGGGCTATGTTTTACGGATATCCTCATTTCTAAGACTATTACACTGAAAAACCCCAAGCATAGCTCTCCACATAGCTCGACGACCTTAAGCTTCCTCATTCGGCCAGCAGTGAAGCACCACGTCGTTTTACGGATAACCTCATTCAGAAGCACCACGTCTTTTTACAAATATCGTCATTTCTAAGTTCATCACGCAGAAAAACTCCGAGTGTTGCCCTCTCAAAGATCAAGCTCAAGGCTCAAGCTCAAGCTCGCAGAGCGACCTTGAGCTTTCTCATACGGACAGCAGTGAAGCACCACGTCTCAGATCCATAAGTCGTCACTAGCAACACGCACTGGTTCTACAATCTCGTTTTATGTTTTGAGGTATATCTGACGAGAAGATGTGTCGTAATTTCCCGAACACTACTCAGCCGAGTTGAATCCATCGATTGACTTCTCAGTCGAAGTTGCACTTACGTAGTCGTACTACTAGTCTCAGGTAAACATACTCATCAAAAACTTCAAGCTTAGTTCTCCCAACAACTACCGTAATAGATGTAACATTTACATTACACATGATCTTTGTTCCCTCAACGTTAATAATAATAATATCATTTATTCGCTTAAACGTGGTACATCAGAGGTGACAAATATTGGATATTGTATATGGTCCACATGTTTACCACATCCGGCATGCGAAAATTGATTAATTTAAAACAAATAAATATAAATTAAAAATGTTAAAACTACAATCATTATTTCAAGCAAAGAATTTAAATATGCTCTATTCATTGAAATCAAATAAATTTAAAATTACAATCATCATGTCAATCATTTCGTTCATCTTAAGACCAAAAAAAACATACTCGTAGCACTAACTCAACAACTAACTAAAAACTTATTACATCGTATCTAAATAATAGAATGCAAACAGTTGTTATTAATGAGAGCAGTTCTTCCGGATCGCTGGTATCTGTGGGTGTACCTCAATTTTTGGCCACTTCCTGTTCTTAGTTTATATAATGACTTATCTTACTTGGTAGGGGACTACCGTGATAAAGTTTTATTTACGGATGATAATTCATTGATCTTCCGACTTAAAAGGCAATTATTAAAATATGACGAAGTGAATACTGCTATATAAAAAGTAGTACATTAGAAATTGCTTTTTGAATTGTAATAAAATGAAATGTATTAAATACACCACACCTACTGTTAAGTAGGTGAATACTAGTGAGCTTTTAAATGGGGAGGAGCTGAGCCTTGTTGAATTAAATATATCTAAACTAGCTAGCATGTGCCGTAAGAAAGATTTGACGCCTTACATGTGTAGAAACAGCTAGATTAGTTTATTTTAGTTATTTCTGTGGGTAATGTGGCTAACATTGAAATTATCTTTGTTTTGCGAAAGAGAGTCCATAGGAACATAGGCCCAAAGGAATCCCGTATTAAGAAATAAATATATTATTAACTTTAGTCTCTTAATATATTTACGAAAATTTAATATATTTACTCAAAAACAAAAAGAGTTTTATTAAAAATAGTCTTGTGCATTATCTAAATACTAGGAACAAGCACAAAATGGTTACACCAGTTACTCGACTACAGTCAGTAATGCCTTCATGGGGCAATGTATACGCTTTTACAACAAAGTCCCAGAAAATATGCAGGCCTTCTCTATCAAAGATATAAAATATATGTTAAACAATAATTGTTTAGTAAGGGTTATTATAGTCTTAAAGAGTACATGATTGAAAATAATCCCTGCGCATGAGGTGATCGCTACCAGTCTGTTCCTAAATGTTTTGATGACAATTATATAAAGTATTGTAAGTTATACTTTTTTTTTAAAGTGCTGCTGGGTTTTATGCTGGTTCTTCCAGGACAGAGGTTTTTTCCGAACCAGTGGTAAAGGTAAAAAATAATTTTAAATAAAAATTACATATACCTAGTCAATATTGAAAAAAAAATCATTCTATTATACTCTATACCTATGAGTTAGGAGGCACTATTGAGGTCATAGAGCATAGTGTTTAAGCCCTCCAGCGATTCTGCCATAAGAACTATATCGTTGGCAAATCTAAGGTGAGTGATGTTCTCGCGATTGATGTTAATACCATATACTTTTCAGTCCAGTAGGTTGAAAACATCTTTACAATAATTTATCTATGACAATTATCTAACAAAAACAAGATGCTGCAATGGCTTTAGGTAATATTTTATCGACGTTCAGATCTTGACTACAAAATCACTACACTCTTCCGCTATCGTTGCCGAGTTATTATATAATACAAAATGACAAAAAAATTGGTTGAGCCTGCATGCCATCCCTGGAACTTTCCGTTAATTTCAATATCAAAGCGCTCCAAATTTTACTTATTCTCTTCGAGCTCAAAAATATCATATTTTTGGAAGACCACGTTTTTTTATTTTTTTTTCTAAATTTAATATTTCACGAACAAATCAACCGATTTTGATGTGATTTACAGCAATCGATGCAATTTTTATCAGCTTAACAAAAAAGCCTATATACAAATAAAATGATTTCACGTAAAGTTTTCAAGTTATTTGAAGAAACACCTTTTAGAGACTTCTTTCGACAACGATATCTCTCGAACGAATCAACCGTTTTTGACGCGGTTTACGGCGATTGACGTTGTTTCTTGAGTAAAAGAGTCGGTTAGATTATAGAATTGATCAAAACAAAGGTGTCAAAGTAATTTCAAGAAAACTACCCTTTGTTTTGAAAATTAAAAAAACTCGATTATTTAAGTTTTTTTAAGAATCTACCGTGACGATTTACAGAAAACCTAAGTTCAGTGAGGCTCATTCAGATGCTACAAACCGCTTTTCGATCGGACACTCCGTTACAAAGTTATGAGATGTTTACATGTTTACATATACATACACACACTCACTCACTTACACCATACGGACATACGGACATCATTGCAAATATAGCTCTAAACGTCGAAGTCTGATGAGAACTCGATTTTCAAATACAGGGGTGAAAACAATAACTTCCCCATTTCTTGCAAACCGTTGATTTTTAAGACGGGAAGTTAAAAAAATGCATTCCATGAAATATTATATATTATACCAGGAGATATTGTAAAATATTTCAAAACTATTAATACTAAAATAACCGCGGTTTTATCGAAGATTTCTGTTCCGTCAAAATTAATTAAAGCCGTGGTAGCTCAGATGGTTAACGCTCGCTGTAATGATATCAGAATGCGAGTAACCCGGGTTCGATCCCCGCCGGCACCAATAAAATTGTAAATTGCAACTTTAAGTGCTGATTTACCACGTGCTCAGCAGTGAAAGAAAACATCGTAAGGAAACCTGCATGTCTGAGGAATAAGAAAAAACAATATTTCGAAGACATGTGCAGTTCGCCAACACGCATTGGGGCAGCGCGGCGGACACTTCCTTGCCCTAAAGCCCTCTCAGAAATAAGGGGAGGCCTGTGCCCAGCAGTGGGACGTATATAGGCTGTAACTTTTTTTACACTCCAACTTGATATAATATTTAATACTAGTATTAAATATGGATTGTTTCCTGATTCAATAAAATATTGTGAAGTCATACCTTTATTTTTAAAGGTATGACTTCACAATTTGATTCCCAGTAATTTTTTAACTATTTTCTACTGCGAGCACTTCATGAAATTTTTGAATAAATTATCCTAGACCTTAAATTAAGTGTTGTTTAATGTTATGAACTGGTTAAACATATTTTCTGTGCAAGGGACTACTCAAAAGATTCCAAAGCTTTCGACTGTGTTCACCATGAGACATTAATGGCATATAATAAAAGATACAGCATTGTATTTAGAAAGTTTATAGATTTAGAAAGACAACGAAGGGCGCTGGCTTTTAGATGCAACATTCTGACCCGCAGATTCGCTCGATACACTCGTGAAGTAAAAGTTACACTTTTTAAGTCCACCATACCATCAATCGTTTTGTACCTGCAATCTGTTGGTCAACTACACGTTGAAGGCATACAGCGCCCTTAGATTACAGTATAACAACAGAGCACTGTGGGGCTTCCTCGCTTTAGTAGCGCATCGGAGATGTTCGCAGAAACATGCACGGATAGGTTTCACGCGATAGTACGGAAGCGACAGTATCCCTGATGACGCGACTATAGTGTGGCACTTATAGTTTTTTTGGAAACTGTTGTATGTTTCTTAGACAGTATTTCACTGGATGGAGACAATTCTGCCAGTGACAAAACATTACTAACCGTAGTTTTTAAGATTTTATATTTGATTACTAACACATATGGAATGAATTCCGAAATAAAAGTTATTATTTTTGTAGTATAGAAGACGAAACGTACCCTAAAAGATCATCAAAGCCTCAAAATAATGTAAAAATTGTTACTATACCATACCTAAATAAGTTAAGAGTCCCTGGCTACTACAATTTCGATCCCGTTTTTGAAAGTCAACTAAAAAATTATCCTACTTATACTTGGTTTTCGGTTCAGAATTCTAATGGTTGGGTTAAAATTGTGGCTATAATTCTATTTTTGGCTTATAAAAAAGTATCATAGTCTACTAACCTTAGAAAGGCGTGTATTATAAATGAAGTAGCATCATTATTACAGCCTTCCATAAGACCTCTGCCGCACATAGAGTATATCCCCTATAGATAGCCTCATAGAGGGGAGTTGTCGCATCATTAATTGAATCAGGCGTTACTTTGTGGTAATCCATTATAGTAGATATGTTAACAATTAATTAACTAAGATCAGCACTACTCCCAGCATCACTACTCCCAGCACCACTACCCCCAACAACCCTTTACCAGGAAATACACACCACCACATAATACACTGTTTTTTTTTACATCTTTAATAAAATTTATATGTACAAGGCTAATAAAAGGGGCCATTGTATAAGGGAAATTTCTGTCATTTCAGGTGAGGCTCTGCCGCTCGACGTCTTATTCTCGAAAGTATACGCGCCGGATATTGACATAGTAGAGTTCCGACGACACAAACGCAAGAGCTTCAGCCTATCCAAGGCTCATTTGCATCTAAAAGACAATCTGCCTCAGACGCTAGTCATCTATGTCCCCGGCTGGTGGAACACTCCAACCGACGAGTCCTCCAAGACATTGGTCAAAGCTCTACTTAACAAGAACCCGCTTGTCTTAGTCCTGGATACGAGACTTATCTTCTGCAAAGGCTACGTTGCTTCCACAACCGGCGTCAATGGTCTAGCTCACCGTTTGTACAAGTTTATAAAGAATATGAACAACGATGGGCTTCCACTGTCATCAGTACACTTAATAGGTTTCAGTTTAGGGGCTCACGTGGTGGCGATAACAGGGAAGTTAGTCCAAAAACATTTGCATCGGAAATTAGAAAAGATTACTGCTCTTGATCCTGCACGGCCGTGTTTTTCCCGCCAATCACAGTATAGACTCGAAAAAAGCGACGCTAAGTTTGTTCTAGTAATTCACACCAATCCTGGAGTGCTAGGTTTGGAGCAACCGCTGGGTCATGTAGACGTATATGCCAATGGGGTGTTAACGAAGCAGCCTGAGTGTCAAGATAGGGGTATCTCTTTGCAATGCGACCACGCACAAGCCTGGCGTTTGTTTTCCGCCTCCGTAATAAATGATCACGTGTTGGTTGGGCGACGTTGTAAGACTTGGGAGGAGCTGAACAGCGGACAGTGCAGCGGGAATGAAACTGTGGTCGGGTACTCCTGTGACCCGCGTACCCAGGGCCTATTTTTGTACAAATCCCCTGTGGAGAAGAAGGAACCGGAGTTAAGAGTATTTAATCCACTGGATTTGTTAACATGGTGGTTCCAATAATGCTACGCCTATAACTCAAAAAAGGGGAAAATGTCTCAAGCATGTTGTTGCTGACCCACGCAGGTCTTAGATATTCAGTAGAAGAAGCAAATACACAAACTCTAAGTTACAAAATCGTTAGATTGTAGTATCTTGGTTAGTGGTATAATTATTGTCTGACAATTTTAGCATGTATACGATAGAAGGCTAAGATAAAGATGAAACCAAATATCAATATAATAGTATATTTTTTAAATTAACTATAATGTTAATGTCTATGCACAGAAGTTCTGGAGACGACTGCCGGCGAAAAGTGCACTTCAGTTAAATAAATGCATATAATGCTATTAAAATATGTTTTTACAAAATCATATCAGAAATAGAAATAGATATTTTTTTTTATTCAATATACATTATAAATATTAGTTATTAAAAGTTACTTTTATGTTTGTGAGCCGTGCTCAGATGGTTATCGCTCGCTGTAAATATAACAGAACGCGAGTAACCCGGGTTCGGTCCCCGCCGGCACTAATGAAATTTTTAATTGCAATTTTAAGTGCTGATTTACCGCGTGCTAGGCGATGAAGGAAAACATCGTGAGGAAACTTGCATGTCTGAGGAATAAGAAAAAAAATATTTCTAAAACATGTGAAGTTCGCCAACACGCATTGAGGCTGCGCGACGGACACTTCTTTGCCCCAAAACCCTCTCAGAAATGAGGGAAGGTCTGTGCCATGCCAATTTGTGCAAGTGGGGCGTATAGCCTATATAACTTTACTACGTAACTTTACTTTTTTACTTTACTCTTATGTTTAATTTAGCACCGGTTCGGAAAATACTTTTGTCCTGGGCAGAACTAACAAGAAACCCAGCGGGTTTTAACAGACAGATATTCTGACGGATACCAGATAATATTTGAATGTCTCTACTGCCTTGAAAATTTGATTCGTACCCACCACCTTTTGCCTGGCATGGGAAGTGTGAACAAATCAAGCATTCTAGCTGACGCATTCTTGGAACGATCTACTCGTATGTCTCAGCAGTGACTCCAACGGATGTTGATGTGATGTGATGTGATGTTTTATACAAGTCAAATGGTTTTTATAGTAGTCACGTCGTATAGTTGTCAGGAGAAGATTGGGTAGCCCTGGGCACTTAAATAAATTGCAAATAAAAATACAAAAACAAATTTTCTGTCCCTATTTTTCAAAACATACTTACTTCTCACTCGGTGCGTGCCGTAACTGAGTGGCGCTTGTTTTTACTTTAAATAACGTAGAATGAAATAAAGTTTAATCTACGCAATGATTGTAAGTCCTTAGAAATTTAAATTTCCAGGGTTACCATTAAAGTATAATATAGCTTAATATCACAATGGTCCCGCCGTCCGGTGTTCCTTTCCCTTTCTTTCTCTATGTATCTTACTGCTACTTTCGATTTAGATTTAATTGTCTGTGATATCTACCTATTAACTAATAAGCATTTATAGTATTGATAAAAAGTGATTATTAATAAATTGAAGCGAAAAAATAAAAATAACAATTGCGTAAAATTAACGAAGACTTTTTTTAAATCTGAAGCACAAAATCCTGCTCTCCAGTACCGTTAGTGGACTTCAATTCTCATTTATTTTATGGGATATGGGTGACAAACGACCACCTAGTCCATTTGGTAGTAAGTGGATAAAGTATCAAATTCACATGTATTTTTACCCCTTAAGACTAAGGTGGAATGCCTCGCTTCACCGCTGAGCTGCAAATCTCCAATTTTTTATAGAATAACTTATGCACTTAATATTCTTTTTCTTCTTTATCAGCTTTAAAATACTCGTCTAGACGTGGACCTTTGCCAGGCGTTTGCCTTGATTGCTATACTTGTCAACCGGATTGGCATTGTTGTGACGAAGCACCTGGCGTGCGGCACCCGCTATTGCGAATTCATTCTGGCAAAGAAGGCGATCTAAAATCTTATAAGGGTCTTAAGTCACAGTTACCAGGTATCAGACGTCTCACGCTGTTACCACTGCTATCAATCGAATGAATTATTCGTTTTAATATAATATATCGCCATCTATCGGAAGCTCCATAATATATTCCTTCATTTCTCATTTGAAACACTACATACACGGTACGAGTCGATGTAGTGGATTTTTTACGACATAAGTAATATACTTGTTTGTCAGTTTCACACTTACGTTTATAAACGTGGTAGAGATATATAACGCCTAATGAGGCGACACGATGATTGGTAACAATACCGAACCATAAACCATTATCATCATCATCCTCACGTTCATTGCTTTTCCCTTTTTTAAATTAGCTCGTAAAATAGCAGCTTAATGTTCTCATTTCGCATCTGCATTTTGATTCGTGGTCGATGATAGATGTAGATGTCTATGGGCCACAGCAACCACTTAACATCAGGTGCATGGAGTACAGAGATAAGGAGGACAATAACCCACAGGAGAATAGTTGAAAATGTGTCCATCTGTAAGCAGTAAATAACAGTTCAAAAACTCTCCACAACAGCGCTCGAGTAGCTACAGGGTATGATAAATCGTCGTAAAATACGTTGAGAGTGGGAAAACAATAAGATAATTATTGTAAAAAGAAATATGGTGAAAGTCTGTGCAATAAAAAAAAAAGTTCTTTTAAATTTAGACTGTAGCTACAGTGGCGCCACCCTTATTTCGTGCTTTACTACGGACACTTTTTTATACAGAGTCAGTACTCCTTACCTCTACACTCCATAATCAGGCGGACTGTACTCGTTTATCACCCAAAAAAAAAAACACTTTAATATACGTAGACAGCGAATTAATATATTCCTCTATGATCTATGATTTTTATATTTTAAATTCCTAAAAAACAAAGCCAGTATTTTTTCAATAATTACTTTAAAACATACATAGAATTAAAAAATTGAAATAGTTGTTATGTAAAAAACGTGCAGAGAATAATAACATCAATGTAAATATAGAATAATTTAATAGTTTTACACAATACACTCGTTAGCGACATCTACCGACTTATGGTAGAACTATTTGGAAACGTGTATGTCGTTCAAAGGGAAACGTCACATCGTAGTTTTTATGTGAAATAATAGATGGCAGAATTTTGTAATGTAGCAAAATTGGGAAATAATTTTTGGAAAATAAAACGTGCCTATACGTGATATTATTAAACGCGTACCTACTTATAATGTGTAACTTTATTTTTTTACGATCCCCTTGAACCACGGTTGCTGCACCATCGCAGCGCTGCAAATGTAGTGTTTAAAATTTAAATCATCAACATCATCATTAGGTACAGCCAGGTACAGCCCTTCACAAGTCCACTACTGAACAAAAGCCTCCCCCGAGGAATGCCACAAAGCACGGTTCTGAGCTACCTGCATCCATCGACTTCCTGCATGTCTTACCAGGTCGTCACTCCATCTAGGGTTTAAATAAGTTAATGTCTTGAATGAATTAACCAATAATAACGAAGTGGTAAATTCTTTCAAGGTTAATGTAATCAAATCCGTCCAAACAGTTTTAGCCGACTCCAAAAAAAGGAGGAGATTAATAATTCGAATGTGCGTTTTATTTGTTTTTATTCAATAAGGGTGACAAATTAGGGGTGAAGTTTATAATAGAACTACATATTTGACGATATCGAGATTGTGATATTCCTTATTCCACTGGGTTAACTAATCTAAATAATTAATGTAGAGAAACCAATTGCCGATCTTTAGTCTCGCAAAAACTCGATAATGGCTTGAACAATTTTGTTGACTTTTTTGTTTGATGAGTGGGTTCCTGGATGGTTTAGGTTCACAACTGGGCCCGACGGGGGGAGTTGTTGTCGAGAACTAGAAATCACCCGAGAAAACCCGGGACGGATCGCTAGCATTTTAATGACACGTAAAAGCTGAATTTAAAAACCCAAAATAAAATTCACATTCTGAAGTTGGTGCTAAGTCATTAAGTATATATGTAAGAATTAAAGCTACGTAAATTTTTTGTAAGTACCTAGTGATAAGTCAACGCTAGGTAGGTGCTGATTTACCACGTGTACAAGGAAACCTGCATGTCTGAGAAATATAAAAATAATATTTCGAAGACAAGTGAAGTTCGACGCACCGAATTGGGGCAGAGCGGCGGACACTTCCTTGCCCTAATACTCTCTCAGAAATGAGAGGAGGCCTGTGCCCAGCTGTGGGCCGTGTATTTTTACTGGACTGTTAATTTAACTTTTTAACGTACATAGTGGTGGCGTAAAACTATCTATTCACTACCCCATATCATTCCGTGAGTATCGTTAGAGGCGACAGGTGGAAATGACATCGGGTGCGGCATAAGCAGCTCCCTGATAACAACTAAAGTTATAAAAACCTGCAGTTAACATTCCGCTCGCCGTGCGCGTCTCGTCTATGGCAAAATCCCCCCTGTGAGGCAATTTGTGGGGGAGGCCTGTGTTGAGCAGTAAACTTTTATAGGTTGTAATGGAATTTATACAAGGTTATATTTTAAACAGTAAAATCAATTAAAATAACGCATTACCTCTTTTTTACGCATTACGCATTTAGAATTTAAAAGATAAAAGTTAAAAAGGACAGAGAGACTTTTTTAATAAATTTTTCTTCATCGTTTGCCTACTACGTATTGCTTATTGTAAAAACTGGCCGATTATTGAAAACAACCCTGTATATAATATTATGCATTTATTAAATAATTTGTTATATACAAGTTTATGTGTATTATTTGTTTTATATTTACTTAGTCAGGTCATGTTTTGTCAAAAACTTAAAAAAAAATTAATGATACACTTTTTGATAATTATGTAGAAATTATATATGAAATGAAAGGTAATTCAATTAAGAATAGAATTTTATTTACATTATGCAAAATGCCCTCCCCTATTTTGAATAAATGCCCTTAATCGACGCGGCCAATCATCATCCGCAGCACGCACCACACTCATATCTATTCCTGCCGCTGCTTTAGCCAAAGATGCTCGAAAAGATTCCAAATTCTGATG